TGAAGTGTCAGCTCAAAATCTAATCACATTCAACACTCTACTGAAAATAATTCTGTCCGTATGAATGTAACTGCAGTGTCTCCAGCAATCATTTGGGTGATTTGGGAACAGTAGCTCTGGCTCAGGCTCTTATGGTCAACCACATACTCCACAGGCTCAGGTAAAACAGTGATTTCATTACAAATATCCAATCGATGAATATGAATGAACTTCTGACCTGTCTCTCTCACTTGTTCAGTCTTCAGAGTAACTCAGTGAGTGACAGAGGCATTAAAGCTCTCTCACACGCTCTTCAGTCAAACCGAGGTCTCAGCTGTCTGAAGTATGTCAACACGCGTCAATGCCAAACACCATAGTATTAAACTATTTAAACGTATGTTCTGGCTAAGAAATAATACTGACTTTGTGTGTCTGTTTGATGGCAGTCTAAGGGAGAATTCAATAGGAATCGCTGGAGCCAAAGACATCGCCAAAGCCTTAAAAGTCAACACTTGTCTTAGAGAACTCGAGTAAGTACACACAAAATACATGCTTAATTAGTCAAAATGAACACATACCATTGTCTTTTACTGTTTTTATATAAAGCTAATTAAGACTAAAAATAATGTACGTATATATATTTTTTCCACATATCTATATTATAAATACTATAAATATTTTACTATTATAAATATTGTAAATGGTTATACCTGAATGTATTACAAATCATTTATCAGTGTTTTTTTTGTGTTTGTGTGTGTGTGTTCAAGTCTGACTGCTAATCTTCTTCATGATGAGGGAGTGACGGCCATCGCTGAAGCCATGAGGGTCAACAGAGCCATCACCTCCTTACAGTGAGAGAACACACATATTCTCACATACACACTCATGGAACAACACAAAACACATGTATACATACACTTTTAAATGAACCTACAAATACATTTAAGACAAAAGAGATGAACTAATGAGAACCTTAAAGATGACTCTTGGTCAGGTAATGACATCATTAAGGTCAGGATGTGATGTCATCCAAGGTCATATTTATCACAATGACTTAATGTGAAGGTGTTGACTTTAGAAATCCGTTTGACACTTACTGTGTTTGTTTCAGTCTCCAGTGGAACTTCATAAAGGCTGGAGCCGCCAAAGCTTTAGCACAGTCTCTCATGAGCAACACCTGCATTCAGCTGCTGGAGTAAGAACATCTACATCCTCATGCAACTCTATCAGTCCTCTCCTGCGTAAAATCATCTCCACAGATCACTGCCATATTGTTGATTTCTCATTGACACCATATTTTAAAAAAAAAAGCAAAAAGTTCTTCAAAGCTGCTTTGAAGCACTTTTGGTTCTGGATCTTTCCTTCCACTCTTAAAAATAAAGGTTCCAAAAGGGGTTTTTAACAGTGATGCCATATCATTATTATGGGTTCCCCAAAGAACATTTCTTAAAATAACCATTTAAAAGTTTAAAAGAACTTTTTTGAAAGTTTTACAAGTCTAAAGAACCTTTGTCCAATGGAAAGGTTCCATGGATGTTAAAGGTTCTGTATGGAACCACCTTTATTTTTAAGAGTGTATTTTATTGGCATCCATGGTTACATGAAGAATCTTTAAGGTTCTTCATAGTGGAAAAATTCTTTCGATTTTAAAAATGCTCTTCACACTAAGAAAAAAATCTTTTAGGAATTGTTCACTGAAAGATTCTCTGGGGAGCCAAACATGGTTCTTTTGGGAAGTCGTGGCCTAATGGTTACAGAGTCAGACTCATAACCCAAAGGTTGTGGGTTCGAGTCTCATACCGGCAGGGATTGTAGGTGGGGGGGAGTGAATGTACAGCGCTCTCTCCCACCTTCAATACCACGACTGAGGTGCCCTTGAGCAAGGCACCGAACCCCCAACTGCTCCCCGGGCGCCGCAGCATAAATGGCTGCCCACTGCTCCGGGTGTGTGTTCACGGTGTGTGTGTGTTCACTGCTGTGTGTGTGCACTTTGGATGGGTAAATGCAGAGCACTAATTCCGAGTATGGGTCACCATACTTGGCCACATGTCACGTCACTTTCACTTTTCACTTTCACTTATGGCATTACTGTGAAAACATCCTTTTTGAACCTTTATTTTTAGGAATGTACAGGTTCTTCAGATCTGTGTTTTGGTTTTTGGGTCCTTTAAAACTCTACAACATACAAGGTTTACTAAAGAACTAGAGAATGAAATGCTCTTGGTGTAACTTTTTAGCTCTCTAATGCATCAGACTGTCGGGTACTTATTGGAATGAACCTTTAGTTTTAAAAAGTGCATGTCTCAGGTTCATTGTAATATAGTGATATCTGTATCATGAATGATCAGCGTTGTGTGTTTCTCTGTCAGTCTGCAGGAGAACGCTCTGGGTGATAACGGAGTCATTGCTCTGGCCTGTGCTCTGAGGTCAAACTCTTCTCTCAGTGTGCTCTAGTGAGTCTCACTTCAGTTCATTATCATGTGACTATTTGCTAAAGTCAGTTGTGTCTGACCTTGCTCATGTGTGTTGTGAAGTCTTCAGGGTGTATCAGCGGGTAAATCAGGGGCCGTAGCACTAGCTGATGCTCTGGTGGTCAACGAAAGCCTTCATACACTAGAGTAAGTCTCTTATGCTCACCCAGGCTGCATTTATTTGGTCAAAAATACAGTAAAATCCTGAAATATTTTCACAATATTAAACTGTTTTCTATGTGAATATCTGTTCAAATGCTATTTATTCCTGTGATGCAAAGCTGAATTTTCAGCATCATTACTCCAGTCTTCAGTGTCACATGATCCTTCAGAAATCATTCTAATATGCTGATTTGCTGCTCAAATACATTTCTGATTATTATCAATGTTGAGAACAGTTGTGCTGCTTCATATTGTTATGGAAACCATGATATATTTATTTTCCATGATTCTTTGATGAATAAAATGTTAAAAACAACAGCCTTTATTTGAAATAGAAATCTTTTGTAAATGTCTTTACTGTCACTTTTGGTCAATTTCATGCATCTTCTCTAAATAAAATTATTAATTTCTTTAAAAAAACATGACCCCAAACCTTTGAACAGAAACATAATTTTTGCATACAACTAGAAGAAAAAAGAAACACTGTTGACACGGTGTATGATAAACTCTCTTTAAAAACTCAATATTGATCATTTTTGTTTAGTCTGCGTGGAAACTCCATTGGGATGGAAGGCGCGAAGGCGTTTTCCAGCTCTCTGAAGAACAACAGGAGCTTGAGAAGTCTGAAGTACGTATACAGACCACATTATTTTCACTATACGTTCCTAGAACCTATCAAAGCATATCTGAGAGATGTTATTGAAGCTGTTTTGCCACAAAATGAATGTGAGCTTTGAAAAAATGTGGCTGGGTTCCAGAATTGTAATCAGTTTTGAACATTTGCAAAATGTACAATGTAGAAAAAAAGTGAATTTTCTATGCGAATATATTTTAAACTCTAATTTATTCCTGTGATGCGCAGCTGAATTTCCAGCATCATTACTCCAGTCTTCAGTGTCACATGATCTTCAGAAATCATTCTAATATGCTGATTTGCTGCTCAAGAAACATTTCTGATTCTTATTTTTGTGGAAACATACATTTGTTTCAGGATTCAATTACACAACTAAGAGCATTTCTGTGCTCAAAACAGAACATGAATGTTGAAACGGTGTATTTGCGTGTGTTTGTAGTCTACAGGAGAATTCTCTGGGCATGGATGGAGCGATCTTCATCGCTACTGCGCTGAGAGGAAACCATCAGCTCACCTACATCAAGTCAGTCTGTGTGTGTGTGTAGGTCTATGTGTGAACCGCCTTCTGTCTGTGAGAGGTTCAACCAGTGTGTCACGGTTGCGTGGCACATGTGGTGAATGCTTTTGCCCTGGCTGTGGTTGTGATTCTGAACATTGATCATTTAAATTTGCAGTCAATGGCACATTTCACCTCAGCGTGATTGATCCTGTGTGAGATTCATCTGCGACGTGTGTCAAAGTGTGCTATGATTTCCTATTTCTGCTTCAGTCTCCAGGGTAACGGCATCGGGGAGTCAGGGGCAAAGGTTGTCTCAGACGCCATCAAAGCTGGTGCACCGGATTGTGTGGTGGATATCTAGCACACGCACAAACACAACATGTTTATTTAGAGCCTTATTCATGTAAATATTTCTGAAGTTTATGTATTAAAGTTGTGTAATAATAAATGTTTATTTTATAAAAACAGAACTGACAAAGATGTTGCCTTAATAAAACACATCATACAGCAATTTTGCTGAACTTTCATTCAGATGAATTCAAATAACTGAGAATTTTAACGGCAATTAAACAGGCGTCTACACTTGAATACATATGAGAAGGTATAATCATATATACTGGAAATTACATTTTATTTACAGATATTTCCATGTCATGAAAAAAACATTTAATGTGAATTGTCACATTCAGTTTGATGCAGCTATTTACATAAGAATTGAAGTCTATTAACCTTTTTGGAAAGCAAATGCATGATTATTTAAAGGAACAGTTCACCCAAAATTGAAACTTTGATGAAATTTTACTCATCCTCAGGCCATCCAAGCTGTAGATGTGTTTGTTTCTTCATGGAAACAGATTTGGAGAAATGTAGTGTTACATCACTTGCTCACCAATGTATCCTCAACAGTGAATGGGTGCCATCAGAACGAGAGTCCAAACAGCTGATAAAAACATCACAATAATCCACAAGTAATCCACAGCACTCCAGTCCATCAGTTGATGTCTTATGAAGTGAAAAACAACATGTTTGTAAGAAATAATAAATGATAAATCCATCATTGAGGCGTTTTAACTTTGAACCGTTGCTTCCAGCTAAAATACGAGTGGTGTGGATTACTTGTGGATTATTGTGATGTTTTTATCAGCTGTTTGGACTCTCATTCTGACGGCACCCATTCACTGCAGAGCATCCATTGGTGAACAAGTAATGTAATGCTACATTTCTCCAAATGAAGAAACAAACTCATCTACATCTTGGACGGCCTGAGGTTCAGAAATGTTCCGAATATTAAAATTTTTGGGTGAACTATTCCTTTAATGAATGCTGGTTGCATGTTAAAAATCATTATCGCTCTCCTCAAGGATTTGTGGGTGCAGCGATCGGTTTGAGCGTCCGAGTTTGGCAGAGGAGCCCTCCAGACCCTCATTCAGATCCTCGTTTTCCTCTTCCTCCTCATCTTCCTCACCATCGTCTACATCAATCTCACTATCCACTGACTGCAAACCAAAGCACATTGTGAAATTAAGAATTATCATAATTTGTTATTACAGAACCACCAGTTGTTCACACTCATACACACGCACGTCAGTGTTATTGTTAACTAAAGCTAAAACTATTAAAGATTATTTTTCATAATTGAAAAAAAAAAAGCTGAATAAAAGAAAATATAAAATTGGATGAAAAATTTTAATGTAAAATTAGAAAAGTTTCCTTGGCTACTAATTAAAATAAAATAAGTTTAAATACTAAAATGACTAAAACTAAAATAAAAATAAAGCTAAACAGAAATGTTTAAAAAACATGACACGCACAACAAAATAAAATGAAAACTGACAATAAAAGCTAAATTAAAAAAAATAATAGCATAATAATAATACTAAAATAACACTGACGCACACACCACCTTTCTTCTCTTTTTCTTCCGGCCGCTGATAGATGGACTCGTTCCTTTACTCTGGGCTTGAAGAACGAGTGCAGAGGAAGAGAAAGAGAGATGGAGTGAATGAAATGAGAGTTGGCGGCATATATACTGAGAAAAGAAAACGAAAGCACAGTCACTGTAGATAAAGTTATACACAGTCATGGAGGAAAAACATGGAAACGTGAAGAAAGAAAGCCTAGGAAACCAAGATCGTCTTAATAATATGAAAACTCTGAAGAATATCACAGAAGAAATGATATTGATATGTTGGTTCAGTGTTGTTAACTAAAACTAATTTTCGGTAATTGAAATGAAGCTGAAATACAAAAATGAGAAATCTTGCCTTGGCAACTAACTGAAATACGTCTAAATTGAAGTATTAAAATTACTAAAACCAAAACTGAAAAACTAAAAAATTCTAAAGCTTTATCTAAAATGAAAATGAAAACTGAAAATATAAAAATAAAAGCTAATCCAAAATATTCCTAAATAATATTATATAAATAATAATAAAATGACATTGTTTTAGTTGAATCCGTGTTTTTACCTCATCACTGTCTCCAGCCCTCATACTGCCAATGAATCGAGCGCCACCTCGACCTGCAGCGGAAACAAGAAGAATCAGATACTTGCATATGTCACACGTGTGAGCGCGGCTGCAGATTATGTAGAGCTTCATGCTGAACTTCTGCCATCACCTGATATCTGTGCGTGTCGTGGTCTGGGCTGCTGTCCCTCATCGATGTCGCTGTCAGATCCTTCATCCTCTGGTATGTCCACATCTGAGTCTTCATCTCTTGCTGCAGAGGAGGAGAACGCATAAGAGATCTTTGACAAATGTGTTCAAATGTGTGTGTGTATGTGTGACCAACCTCCACTCCTCATGAGGCTCTTCTCCTCCTCTTTTAATTTGTTTTGTCTCATTTTCATTGCCATCTCTGCTTCCTGAAAGACAAAAACAGGTGAATTTGGGTGAAATAAGACAGAAAACATGCTCTTGATAGCTTTCATGAGATTAATTCGTTGTTGTCGTTAGTTTTTTTGTATTTTTAGCTAGATGAATTAATGATATGGTTTAGGTATAGGCCTCATACGAGCACCAGAGAGAAGTTCGGATGCATTGCACTGATTGTACCTCGAAGCGTTCCTGCTCTGCTCTGTGATAGTCATCTAGCTGCTGCTCCAGGAAGCTCACGTTACGGAATTTCTCCACGTATGTCTGGTACTGCTTCTGCAAGTCCTCCTCGATCTTCTCATATTCATCTATAAACGCTGGACTACATAATATATGTTTGTGCATTATTTAAATTTTTTTGCATCTAAAGCATATTATCGTTAACTAAAACTAAAAAGCCATAAAAAAAAACTTGAGCATTAAAGGGGTCATATGATGCAATTTCAATGTTTCCTTTCTCTTTGGAGTGTTACAAGCTCTTGGTGCATAAAGAAGATCTGTAAAGTTGCAAAGACTAAAGTCTCAAATCCAAGATTCTTTATAAACGTTAAGAGTCAGCCACACCTACCTAAAACGGCTCGTTCTAACACGCCCCCACATGTCTACGTCACGATGTGGGAAGATTTGCATAACGCCGCCCAAATGTTCACGCAAAGAAAGAAGGCGTAACTTTTATTCTCGCTGTAGTATTGTTGTTGCCGCCGCCATGTCATGAAGGCACTGTGTGCTTCGTTGTGAAAGCGAAACTACTTTGTTTGGTCTTCCAAAAGAGGACGATATCGCTTCGTAAAGCTTGAGCTGATCCGTGCTGGTCACTGAGGAAATAATTAAACGCACAAAATAATGTTCTTTTTAGCAACATCATATGACCCCTTTATTTCAAATACAATAATATATTTAATGTAGTTGAAGTACTAAAATAACTAAATAACCTTAATAAAAACTATATAAACATAGTTAAAACCTATTTAAAATTATTAAAGCACAACCAGAAAATATAAAAATAGAATTTAATTCAATATTTGAACAAAAACTATAATAGTTTATCAATGGTACTAGCTCACCGCAAGCTCTGTAGAGTTTGAAAGCGTTTCTGGTTTCTCTCCAGGTCCTGTTTCTTCTTCTCGATTTTGGCCTCCAGGCTAGCCTCATCTGACGATACGTTACTGAGCAGATCCTTTGTCATTTGGATGCCCTCCTGAAAACAGACAAGCAAACACATATTCAGATGCCATTCAAGGCCCAAAATAACATCACAATCCTCCAAAGACGTTCCTCCATCTCCTCCTGTTCCTTTGCTTGGTAAATAATTCAAGCACGCCGCTCGTTGAATGCACTAAAATCATCCTTTTCAAGAACGGACCTGAAACAGAATGTGACTTTGAGTTCTTGCACCCCTCTAGAGACTTTCATAACAAACATTCAAAGAACATTTCTGCAGCATTTAGGGTATTTCTCAGTACAGAGTTTCTTTCAGTTTTAGAATACTAAAGCAGCGGTTCTCAACCAGGGGGCCTCAAGATGAGTTATGAGTAAGACAAAACAAGCATTAAAATCAGCGACAACAAAAATCAAGATATTAAAACTGACATCATATTTATTATTTCATTCATTTCCTCAACTGTGATTTTTATTGAAGGACCAGCATTTTCATGGTCTTGGGAAACCTTGATATATGAAGGAATTTTGCACAATCAGCTTGTAACACTCCAAAGAGAAAGGAAAACTTGAAATCGCATCATATGACCCCTTTAATATATCTTACCTCTTAACAAGCCAGATGAGGATTTCAGCTACTAAAGGGAAGTTAGGAGATCTGAAGTTCTCCATGGAGATGAGACGAGGGTAGCCGAGCGCTCGCATCATCTCTGTAAAATCTACATATCCATAACATACTGGAAGTGTTCAAATAATATTCATACACCTTTTTCATGCATGCATTAGCATAAGCTTTATCCTCTACTGAAATAGTATCTAATTACAAAACAACTCTTCGATTTTATGATGCACATACTAAAATTATAATGGTCCTTTTCGGTTCACTTACTTCTCAGATCTCTAAAAGACATGATTTCTGATTTTATATTCAGTAAACACAACGTTCACCTGTTAGACAAAAAGAAAAATGACACATTCCACTAAAAGCGATAGATTTGAGTTGCTAATGCACTTACTAAGGCTTCAAATCTAATTGAAAGCGAACGTCTCTCAACAGCTATGCATTAATATATGAATAACTTCATGTTCAAGGACAAATATATTAATTACAAGTCACATCAGAATACAGCAGTTAAGCTAGTTTGATAGATAAAGATCATCGTCCCGTCTCAAAATCCTGTCCACATACTGGTAATCGATCATTATAACAAACTGCTACTGTTTTAGTCGTGAATCATGTCAAATAAAAACGATAATTAGCATAAAATAGCGGAATTCTTGCCTTGCGTGAGCGTCTGTTGCTGTGCTTGTCACTATGGCAGCCATAAGGAGCTACGGGAGCCCAATAAGAACAAACAACATTGTAAATGGGAAACGCGTATACAGAGGGGATGTCCGTCTGAAAATTACGTTCTTGGAAATTACATTATTATTTGGTACCCAGGTATTTAATATTAATAACAATTGTTTCAACACTTATCCAATGGAATGCATGATAAAAGACCCCCCCCCCCAGATATTTATATAGAAAATATTCAAACAACATCTACAATATACAATAAACAGTTAATTCACAAAATAGGACATTTTATATTTGTATTATTTCCTCAATTTTCTCAAAAGCTGTACGTTCTGTGACTTTGAGGGAAAATGTCCACAGTTTCACATATCGCCTGTCCATTTCTGTAGATGAAATTTCCCCCATAATGATTAAAACGCGCATATAGATCAAATAAAATCAGCTTTGTCTGCGTTGTCTGTCTTTCGATGATTCGCAGTTTTGGCGGGAGACGTAGCTATGGGTTTGTGCGTGAAGACGTGCGTCTTACGTCATGCCGTTCGAACGCGTCGCGGCGTCGGTCTCTGCAGCGCGATTCAACAACAACAACAACAACATAACAAACTCACAGACCTCAAAAACCCACACAACAGCGACCAAAACCGAAAATTAAACTCTGTACGACAATAAACTGAGGTGTTGCGATGGAGAACATCTTTCTGGACACTTAGGAGACGGAGGTCAATTAATTCCTGGTAGTTTGAGAGAGCTGCAGTCCGTTAGCTGTCAACAGGTGAATCAGATCTGTGAAGTAAACAGTGTCATCCAGAGGTAAGGTTACAACAGCTATGAAAACGCTTCCCTAAATGAGTAATAGCATCTGAAATGGACCTGGACTGAGTTAATATGTTCGTTAAAAGATGGTATATACAGTACAGCCCAGTATGGACAATATACAATGCAGTGTAATACAATTTGAAATGTACAGTGCAGTACAGTACACATTTTATACCATACACAAGGGGTTTTCAATCTTATAGATGTCATGCACCCCCTAATATTTAAATGCAGCTGTGTTTTCAGGTAGTAAGACTCCATTTATACTGTGAAAAATGAATACAAATTTTATAATTATTATAAATATGTGCAAGTTGTTATTATTATTATAATTTATTATTAAACTTATTATTGAGTTATTTTGACATTTTTACACTGTTTTTCTAATCTCACAGTGCTTTTACAGCACACATACAGAGTGGGGTGTATCTAAAATAAACATACAGCAGTGATTGATGAGCCTCAATCTCTCCATCAGCTCTGTGGCAGCGGCCGTACGTGAACATCTTCGAACACATGAAGATAGAAGAATGGAAGAATGCCAGCAAAGAGGGAGATGTCACCACATACATGGTAGGAGGTTTGTTCCTTTCTCATAAAATTTAAATTAAGTGTGCTCCATTCAGGATTGAGCCGATCACAGGAAGGATACGATCACCGATAACGATATTTTTGAAGCCTTCTTTTTATCATGTAGAATTATTTATAGTGATGCTCCAATCAGGATTTTTACAGACAGTCATTCAGGGCCTGAATTTCATTTTTGAAAATGGGAGGAATTCCCCTCTTAGGTGACTCTTGTGAGGATTTAATTTAATTTGACATTTAAAAAAAAATACATAATTATCTCACCTAAATGTTTGATCATGCAGTGCATTTTTGTTTTTACAATGGGGCAATTGTTGCACAATAGCTTACACTCAGCACAAGCCTGATTTGGCCTTATGTGTGTGCTCTTTGAGTGTACATGAGTGCACCGTCTCTAGGAGAGCGCACGAGTGCTGATTGCTTTAAACACTGGCAAGACTTAAAAAGAAATGCAAGTTATAAACTTTAGTGACGATGTGACACTGCCTCGATTGTGCAAGTGACAATTCCTTTGTCAACTGTGCAGCGTGCAGCTCGCTTATAGTGCAGATGCAATGTGTGGTGATTTGAAGCCATTTGCACATTTTGAGAGTTTGTTTGTAAATTTCACACTGTTTGTGAAATTGCGTCTCACAGAAAGTTTTCAAATTACTTTGTAAGTTATAAAACAAAGAAATATGAATTGTACCTCACCTTCAGTATTATAATAATTTTTTTTTTTTTTAGAGACGGTGCTGTTACATGTCATGCCAAACCTCTCACGGCAGGTGCATTGTCAGCTTGAAACTGGTTAATGAGATCGGTCTTCATTGAGACAGCCAATCAAACTTCCCAAAGCGATTAGCGGCCGATAGCGATCGGTAGCCGATCAATCGGAGCATCCGATTTGGCCACAGCCATATCACCCTGTAGCCCAAGACTGGTTGCCCACTGAAGCTAAGCAGGGCTGAGCCTGGTCAGTACCTGGATGGGAGACCTCCTGGGAAAACTAGGTTGCTGTTGGAATAGGTGTTAGTGAGACCAGCAGGGGGTCCTCACCCTGTGGTCTGTGTGGGTCTTTTGGATGAGACGTTAAACTGAGCTCCTGACTCTCTGTGGTCATTAAAAATCCCATGGCACTTCTCGTAAAGTGTAGGGGTGTAACCCCGGTGTCCTGGCCAAATTGCCCCCCTGGCCCTTGTCAATCATGACCTCCTAATAATCCCCAACCACTTGATTGGCTCTATGACTCTCTCTCCTCTCCACCTGTAGAGTACTGGCGCCGTTGTCCTGTGGCTGCCGTCGCATCATCCAAGTGGATGCTGCACACTGGTGGTGGTTGAGGAGAGACCCCCCCCCCCCACACATGATTGTAAAGCGCTTTGGGTGTACAACAATACACAATAAAGCACTATATAAATGCATCATTCTTTCTTTCTTTCTTTCTTTCATCCCTAATTAATTACAATATGATGTTGTTGCTGCAGAGGATTCTCGTTAGCATTCAGTTTTTGTATGCATGTATTTTTCATGTTGATTTGTTTATTGGTAGGATAAGACCCTGAAATGTTCTGTGTTCCGGATCCGCAACAATACACAATAAAGCACTATATAAATGCATCATTCTTTCTTTCTTTCTTTCATCCCTAATTAATTACAATATGATGTTGTTGCTGCAGAGGATTCTCGTTAGCATTCAGTTTTTGTATGCATGTATTTTTCATGTTGATTTGTTTATTGGTAGGATAAGACCCTGAAATGTTCTGTGTTCCGGATCCGTGGCTCCATACCGGCCAGTAACTACATCCTGCTGCCCAAAACCAGCAGCCAGTCTCTGGGTCTCACCGGCCGGTACCTTTACCTGCTGTTCAGACCCAGTCCAAACAAACACTTCATTGTGCACCTGGACATCGCTGCTGAGGTGAAAAATGTAGTTGTTATTTTTATGCATAGCTTTGTAATGATACAGACTTTCATGTACATCTCTGTTCTGCAAATAATGTCTTGTGATGATTTTTCTTTTGATTTATCACTCTCTGTTGCTTTGTTCATCATTCAGGAGGGTCAGGTGATCCGTGTGTCGTTCTCTAACATGTTCAAAGAGTTCAAGTCCACGGCGACATGGCTGCAGTTCCCTTTTCTGTGTGGAGCTGCACACGGTTCAGTGTATGAGAATACAGCCAGTACTGCTAAACAAGGTATCTCACACTTGCCATTTTTTATGATGTTTTCTACATGCAGGAAGCGTTTTTTTGTGGTTACTGATTGATAACTTGTGCATTTCAAGTTTAGTGGGCCCATCGCTGCCAAACACGAGTTGGACGTGCTTGACAATGGATCTACGTTACGTGCTCTCGATTTTCCTCAACAGAACCCACAGTCACCTTAAGAGCGTCAAACTCTGTGCCAATATGTCTGTTAAAAACTTCATCACCAGTGATCTGCTGTTTGACCCCGGTACAGTTTGATCTTGATCGTGCAAACCATCTCCCAGGTTTGTCAGCAGTAAGAGTGGTCACATCCTGGAGATCGACTATGTTGCCGTGGCGATAAAAAACATCAGGAGGCTTCTTCCAGCTCAGGAGACCCACAGCCACCAAAGGAAACAGACCTTTAGCACAGGTGAGAATTTGTGTTTTGTGAGCAGCACAAGTTTGATCTTGGCTCATATCATACCTGATTACATATCCCACTGTTTGTTTCCTGCCTCCTTCATGTGCTTGTCAATATGTGTCAAAAAGGCCTTAAAACAAATTTTTATTTCTCTTTAGACACCTCACAATTCAATTCAATGTAAAATTTGATTCAGGGAATCCAAACTAATCCTTAATTCATCCCAGTTTTTCTGCAACATTAAATTGAATTAAATAATAAAAAAATAATACATTTAAATAATAATTAATCATAATATTTTTCTCATCATGTTTTAAAATATCAGCATCTAAACACACACATAGTCCACTGGAAGAATGCAGAACAGTTTAAATTGAATTAAATTAAATTAATATAATACAATTAAATAAGTAAAGATGTAGTTTGCATGGTGGAATTAATTATTTGTATTAATTATTATTGATGCTCAGCATGTTTAAAAGATCAGCACAATAATAATAGCAATATTCTGTTTTATTTTTTTCTTTAAAAGTTAATTAAAAATAGAAAAATAATTTAAATGAAAATATTTTTTAACACTTGTTTTATTATTATTATTATTATTTCATCTCTATAGCCACTTTTTAATCATGATTGAGAACTATAATAAATTGTTATTTGAATATTTTTTTATTTATTGTTATTCAAATATATTGACCGTATTATAAATGTGTTTTCAGGTGCCAGTATTGCAGTGAACAGCATCAGTGTGTGTGATGAATTCTGTGTTACTGGTTACGAGCATGGATTCATGTGTCTGTGGCCTCTTGACTTCTCATCGGTTTTCTTGGAGGCGGGTCGGTACTCTCCTGTCAGTCGCTTTCACAACCAATTATCTTGCTTAAAACTAACTCTATGAATCACTGAGATTTTGGTATGTTCGTAGAGCACGAGGGGCCTATCAGTTGGTGTGTGTGTCCTCGGACGGCTCAAGAGTTCTAGCAGCCACAACCACAGGGAATCTTGGGTATCTGGATGTCAGTAG